TACTTTCAGCTGTCAGTGAAAGCATAATTAATGATGATTCAAAGGTCGAAGATAACTTCACATCAGGTAGTAGTGTAAATGTACAAAACAATAATAAAATTTTTAAGTCGTATCAAATGGAGAATGTTCTGCGACATTCAGTTTTAACTGATAAAAATTCCTCTCCTAATTCTTCTACACACAATGATTTGAAAAACAAAGGTAAAACAACTGATTTGGACTTAGGAATCCATGAGACCTTTCCTAAAAATATTAAAAACCGACAAGCAAATGTAAGCCATGTAACATTCCTTATTAGAGATCGCCTATCACCAGAGGACAAGTCATGCATTAAAGAATCCGGATATCATCAGCTTGCAAATTTGTCACAATCAGATAATGCACCAAATACAAAACAGTATGATCAAAATAAAGAAACTAAAACCAATGAAATTCTTTTATCTGCAACCGAAATTCAAACTGTAGAGAATACAAATGATGGCAATATCAATGAAACATTTAAACTTCCAAATTCAAACCTTCTAACTTTGGATAATAATGGTTCACATTTTTCATTAGGAGTTCAAAACAGTCATATTGAACCCACCATCTTGTCTAGAAATAATGACGGGGATAAATGTTTTACTAGATCAAGAACATATTTGAATTTAAAAAGGAAACTAGAGACAATTAATGAAAATGATAGTGGATCTGATATCTCACTTTCACACGATGAATTATCAACAAAAGAAATAAAAATTAATGTTTCTGGCAACAACCATTCCAAAGTGGTTCAATATTCTGAGAGTCCGGTCACAACAGACACTAGTAGTATAGAAATGAATTTAAAAAGGGTAAATACTGATATTAGAAGAAAACGAGCCAAGTTGAAAAAAGAGAATCCTGTAAGGAAAAGTAGTACTTCTTCATCAGAAGATGAAGTTGTAAAATCATCTTTACTAAAAGGAATAAGTTTCGAATCAAGTAAATTACCGGTTCATAAATTTATGGAATCAAATGCCAAAATCAAACAATCAACTGAATTTGATCTCGAAGGTAATTTTGATAAAACTGATAGTGTTGATACAACAGTTCAACAGAATGCTGGAAGATGTTATTCTAATCCAAAAGACTATATCCACAGTACTGTTTCAGATTTGGCTATTTCTTTTGAAAACAAAGCCAGGAATGAGAGCTTCGATCACAAAGTCTTAAACAGACAAAAGGAAACAGAATATAACCAATTGTCCGATAGTTCTTCCAGTATTATTTATTCTAGCCCGAATGCAAAAACTGGATCAGTCAATAAAGCTACAAAAGCATCTGATAAGTCTAAAGTACATCTTGATAATATAAAAAAGAGGCACATGGATGAAGAAAGTCAATATTTTTCAGATATAAATAGAGCGAAAAGACGAAATGAAAAATCTCATAAATCTTTCGCGCTTCATAGGAAGTATGACAATTCCAATAGGGAAAATTCCAATATTTGTTTCAAGTATTCAAGGCCTAGTAATGATGAATACCGAAAAAAACCTTTAAAGCAATCCAATCCTGGAAAATGTGATCCTGTCTTGGATCCCAGAAAAGATCAAAGCAATGAGGCAAAACATCCACTTCCAGGTATAAAAAAAAATCGAAAATCCTCAATAGTCCGTTTGATGGGTACTGCTGAAGGGAGCCAAATTTCTAATTCACCTGAAGTGAAAGGATTGTTGCGCAGGACTTACTTCATGGGAAATAATTAATGACCAGTCCTCTACTGTAATAACTATTCGATTAACACTTATGCTAGTTTTAATGTTTATTTATGCTCATATTTGTGAATAACTTAAGTATTATATAAATATAAAACAATATATTTTTTTAAAAACTATTATATTTAAACACATAAATTGTCTTGTAATTCCTTAATTTTTTTTTTATAATGAATTATACTTTGTAAAACAATTTTTTGTTTTATTCTTTGTGTAAGATCATTCTAGAAACCTTGTCCATTACAACTTAATATGACAGTTAATTGTGGTTCCCTGGAACAATTTTGAGTTGACTTCACATTCCCTAACTTTTCACTTTTATTAAAATAACTTATTTTTTAAATATCCAAAACCTTTTGTATTTGTTATTATTTAACTAGTTAGTGACATGATAATTTAAAATGCCTAGGGTTGAGATGAGGTCCATAAAAAAAATATTCAAGAGGATACCCTCGGGCTACATAAGTTATAGAACCCTTGCATTAAATCATAAATCTGGTTGAGTCAGTCATGAATTATTTATATAAATAATTGAAATTGAAAAAATCGAATACTTTCTATTCTTAGTTAATTTTTGAAACTTTGTTAGTTCATTAAGAGTTTTATAGATAAACATCAATCTTGTGGAAGAACCAGGCAAGTTCAAATTATCTAATTTTTTTCTGTGGTCTGTATTGCTCTTTCCTTCTGTGGAAGAACCAGACACAAATATAATAGCAGCCCTCTCTTAATATTAAAAATAATACAAGACTAAATCATTGGCCAATAGAAAATATCGGTTGACCATTTATCTGAACCACTTCCGCAAAAACCTGGTGTATCTAGACTTACCTTGTTACTGACAACAATGTTACTACCTTTAAGGAAAAAACATGCTGCAGGACTCAATCAAACTCCTATTCAAAGATATATTTGTTTCAATAGCTCGCAAGTTGGAACAGGATATTGTTTTGGAGATGTGAGGTATCGGTTGGAATCCGTAATACACAAATCTATGCAATTTTATGAACAAATAGTCCGGAAGCCGGTGGCAAAAAAAGGTGTCTTATTTCATACCAAGGTTTTTCTTTATAAATTAACCATCTCTTCAGGCCTGATGAGAAAAATGTAGCATATATTTGCTGGAATACAAATTGGCGGCCAGGTGAAGATAGAGAGAGACCCTATATAGAAAATTCATATATAGAGAGAAATCTTATAGATATAGAAAGCTACGAACCCTTTAAATTTATAGTATTTACATGAAATAATAATCAGTTAGTTACTCCATACCCATAGATTTCAAGCCGAAAATTTGAATTTAGGATTATAATTGTTTAATCTCTGATACTATAAAGATAAACTTACTTTCCATTATAACACAGCTATAAATCATTATATGAGGCAATTTATATGTATATGCATATTGTATAAGGCAATGTATACATATGTATGTTGCCTTATATAATGGTATATAGCTGTGTAACAATGAAAAGTAAGTTGTTCTGCATAGGAACGGAGTTTAATCATAAAGTTATAATTGCTATAGCTTTTGAATGGTTGAAGATAAGATATTAAAGTAATATTCTGAAAGGAAATTTAATGTAAAACAACTTGCTTCTTTGACTTTTTCGTAAAACAAACAGATAAAGAGTTACTGAGTCAAATAATGATAAAAATGCTAGGCATAAACAATTTTTGAATATTTAATAGTTGACCGTTGCATTATAAAGGAAGGAGATGGTCCGGGGTTGCGGTCATAAATAGGCTAAATAGTGGTAAAACTATTCTATTGAAAGCCGACATTTCGACCCGACTTTGCAGGTCTTCATCAGGGAGGTGTGTTCATCTAGGAGTTTCACTTAGAACTCAGTTCTATGAAGACCTGCGAAGTCTGGTCGAAACGTCGGCTTTCAATAAAATAGTTTTACCACTACTTAGCCTATTTATGACCGCAACCACGGACCATCTCCTTCCTTTATAAACAATTTTTATTTGAAGTTAGTGAATTTGGAGGACAGATATCTTGGAGACTATAACAGATAGCGAAGGAATGAATATAACCTTTTCTGTAGCAAATTTTGTCAGCTTTAATTTTACATAGAACGTTATTAATGCTAGAAAGCCTAGTTTCACTGATATAAGCGAAAAATCCATGGTCATGGGGTAACTGACTTTGTTTTATGTCTTGGAACATTAAATACTATAAATTTAATGAGTTGGTAGCTCTCTAAATCTATAAGCTATCTTTGTACATAAGTTTTCTTTCTATATAGGGTCTCTATCTTCACATGGCATTTCTATTCCAGCGGCTATATGCTGGCAGACGTGCATTTTTCTCATTAGGTCTGTGAACATGGTCAATTTACAAGGCCAAACCTTAGTATGAAATAAGACACCTTTTTTGCCACGGGCTCACAGATTAAAATCTATGCTGTTAAATGGTGAGTAGGCAAAGTTCTTAATGTCTACCTTTGCTTATGTTATTTATTGGTCAATACTTATTCATTTAAGTAGTTATATAGTTATCATTTAAGTAGTTATACAGTTATCTCTAAAAAGCTAAATGAACGCGTTTCAAACCTGTTCCCTTCATAAAAATTCTAAAAATCTAATATCATGGTTTTTCACAATATTTAGATTACTTTATTGCAAAAATAAAATAAGAAGAGCTTCCCTAATTCCTTATTAGAATATGTAATTGAAATAGTCTATTACATTAACACATATCCATGCTCAAATTTAAAAGCACGTAGTATTACATGTAGAGAAAAGTTTACAGGAAAATATTAATATAACATAATTTTTTTTAAGGTTCTTAAAAACTATTTTTGTTTTCGAAGATACAAACAATAGTTTTAGTTAGTTAGGATGTGAAAGGAAATCAATTTCTGTAATGTATTAAAGTTGATAGGCGATATTCAGCCACTAAATGGTAAGCAGAAAATGAATAATTAAATATCAATACAGAGTCATTCACCAAACTCCAAGTCTGCTCTAATTATCAATTTTTAAAGTTTCCAATCATATTTTATTATTATCTCCAAAACTGACATTCAAACATGTCACTTGACATGTGAGTGTTATTAAATTACTGTAATTTTTTTTATGATTAATTTAATACAAATACTACTCATTCGAACTGCTGAGAATAGGGAATTATTAAATGGATAAGAATGAGTTATCGTTTTCAATTCTTTCTCTTCCCTTCATCATTATTAAATGTTTAGAATGTGATTTAATAAAGGTAGTGATAATGAGGAATGACAAAAATGAAAAAAAAAAATTCTTCTATTGGCATTTATTTAGTCCAATAATATGTTTATTGTATAAAAATGATTTGTGCTGAATAAAACACTTATTACTGTTCCATATAAATAAAATAATTTAAGACATTCTGCCCTATTGAAAAAAAAAATATTCAAACTGAAAAGTTATAAAACTAACTAAAGGACAAAATGCAAGGAAAGCAATGAAAAGATACGGCAACACAACTAAAAATGACAGATACCAGCATTAATAGTAATAGTAAAGTAATAATAATAAAATTATAAGCATTAACACTAAAGAACCTCTGTTCTAATCTCAAAATAAATGCTATCATGTATAATAAAATTCAAATATGCAACATCTTCCATATATCTCTATTTCCTCACATTGTTAAAATAAAGTGCACAGTCATAATGCTTTTAAATTAAAACACTTGTTAGTTTTTAAGCCACAAGCACCTAGTAAACGTTTTAAATACAATAATTTTAAATATTTACAAATTAGAAATAACAAATAAAAATTTCTACAATTATACATTAAAATACCTTTGAATAAACAAAATTAATATAAGACTATTTATTCAATAATATATATATACATAGTGTCCTATGATTATTAATACAACTCAGGCCACATACCTTACTTAAAGCAAAAATGGAGAAAAAAAAATTACAACAGTCGGCATCGATGTGATGCTTAATTATTATACATTATTCTGATCAAAATATAGAAAACATATTAATTTGCTTCCTCCGCGATTTCGACTGGAGGCATACCATTTTCTATCAATGAGATATGGCCATTTGTTGTGGTAACAATGGCCACTTGAGATGGAAGTTCCTCATTATCGATAACTTCCTTTTTGCTTATAACTTTCTTATCTACAATTTTCTTATTCAAAGCAGTCTTAGCAGTCAATTTATTGTTAGCCTCCTTAGTACTCTTGTCTGTGGGAGCTGGTTTTTTTATAGCAGTAGGTGCTGCAGGTTTTTTATTGATAGGGGCAGGTGGAGCAGCTTTAACTGGCGGTTTGGCTGCAGGCTTAGCACCAGTTGTACTTGCTGGAGGCTTAGTAGCAGTAGTAGTTTTTGCTGGAGCAGGTTTTGCAAGAGGTTTAGCTGCTGCTGGAGTAGTCTTCTGAGGGGCAGCAGCTGCACCTGGACCCTTTGCAGAAGATGGCCTTTGAGATGGTGAGGAAGGCTTCAGAGTAGAAGATGGAGTAGTCTTGGTCATGGCAGGTTTGCTGACAGGTGGCTTAGCAGCTGGAGGCTTAGCAGGAGCCGCAGGTTTTGCAGCAGCAGGCTTACTGGCTAATGGTTTAGCAGCTGCTGCAGGTTTGGCCGCTGCTGTTGGCTTAGGTGTTGAAGATGTTGTGGTAGTCTTTGCTGCTGTCATAGATGGTGCAGCAGGTTTCTTAGCAGCTGGTGCTGAAGTGGCAGGCTTAGAAAGTGGAGGCTTTGCTGTTGAAGCAGCCGTTGGTTTAGGTTTGGCTGCAGTTGGAGCAGCTTTAGTTCCTGTTGGTGTCGATGGCTTACTGCTGGTAGGTTTAGCTCCTACTTTCGATGTAGGTGTGCTGGGCTTGGCAGAAGCAAGGCTGCTTGTTTTGGAAGCACTAGCTGTTTTAGCAGAGGGAGATGATGGTTTGGTGAGAGGCTTACTGCTTGGAGTTAATGGCTTGCTACTAGGAGTTGAAGATTTACTAATTGCAACCTTTTCTGAAGTGGCTTTGGTGGTTGCGCCTTTCAAAGGAGTTTTAGTAGCAGTACCAGCTTTAGGAGTAGGTGCGTCAGTCTTCTTAACTGGTGATTTCTTCTCTTCTACTTTTGATTCGGAAACTGCAGTTGCTACTGCTGCCACTGCTGTAGCTGCACCTAAACAGTACATATTTTTATTAATATATTGAATAATTTAAGATACATCATTGTTAATAAAACTGATAATAACTATGGTTAACCTAAATTACGGAAAGAATAGGTTTAATACTTAATTTTTAATTGAAATAAAAATGTAGGTGATACAAAGACTGATAACCTATCGTAAATGTGAACGAGAGAGAACATTACTCGTCAAGGGTTATGGTCTGCTATTAAAAGACATCATAGCCTCATCTTTCAGAACTGACACAAAGATTTCAAATTAAATCAAATAAACAACAACAAGTGTTATAATAGTATAAGACTTCATATCAACGTTTTATGTAAAACCATAATTTTAGATTAAATATCTCCAAACATCTTTTTGAATCGGAGATAATGAAAATATATGCTAACATTAAATTGAAAAATATCAACCATTTAAACTGCTTTGGAATCAAAGCTAATGAAATGAGCATAATTTAGTTAATAAAATGGGGTTTTCTTATACAAAAGAAATTTAAGGATACAAAGAAAAACTTGTAATTACTTTTTAAATACGGCTAAAGATACTTTAGAAGAGGGTAATGGAAATTCTTTGGACTGGCATTTTAGAACACGAGAATATGCTTTGAAATCATACTCATGGTCTTAATCAGTTAACTTAAAAATAAAATTTGTAAATATTAAATAAATTAAAAGTGGTTACCAGCGGCAGCAACAGCAGCAGCAATGAGCCCCTCCTTGGCTTCCTCCTGGAGGCCAGGTGCAGGGGTGGCGGGGGGCGTGGCAGGAGGGGTCACGGTGCCATTGACCAGCTCTGTCTTCTCTTCAGGCTGAAGCTCCTGCTCGACGGTCCTGTCCAGGGGCTCGGGAACGTGCTTTGGCGATGACTCTACCTCTACTTCCACTTTTTGGGAAATAACAGATTCCTCCTCCTTAGGCTTTTCAGATAAGATTTCATTACTGATTAAGTTTGATTCGACCTCATTACTAGCATATTCTTCAGGTTTTTCAAAAGACTCAGCTTCATTCCTATCAAGTAGTAATTTTTCATTAACTGCACCTGCTTCTTTTTCTGACTGATATTTCATCATTTCCATTTCTACAGTTGATGCTTCACTGGCATTTATTATTTCAAATCCAGAATCACTTTCAGTATCTCCTTCAGTCTGTTTCTCTTGAACTTCAAATTGCAGTTCCTGTACCAAATCCAACTGATTGGACTGGGCTTCTGGTAAGCTCTTATCTTCACCATGGTCTATCATGGAAGAAGACATCTCATCTGTATATGGAATTTCATCTTGTGGGCTACTCTGTTCAATATCATCAGATTTGAGTTCTATTATTGGTTCCTCTTCAGATGTTTTCCTAAGCGGACAAAGTTTGTCCATCTGTTCCTCAACATTGCTTTTATGGTCATCAAGTTCTTTATCCATTGAAAATTGTTCTTTGTCCAGTTTAATATCCAGATTAATATGGGCATGATTTGTTTCATTGGTATCATACATATCTGAGTCAATATTTTTTTGGTTATAAGGAGAGAAACCGATAAAGTGATCAACTTTTTCTGACTCGACCATTTCTTCTTTTACTTCATTCGGACATACTGTGTCAACTTCTTGTTTTATAGGACATACTAGGTCAACCTCATGTTTCATAGGACACACTAAGTCAATCTCTTGTTTCATAGGACATACTAGGTCGACCTCTTGTTTCATGGAACATACTAGGTCAACCTCTTGTTTCATGGGACACACTAGGTCAGCTTCTTGTTTCATGGGACTTACTAGGTCAACCTCTTGTTTCATGGGACAGACTAAGTCTCCTTGAGTAGTTGTTTCCTGGTCTTTTTCTGGGGTACTAAGAAGCTTTTCTATTTGATCTTTAAGATGTGAAGTGGGCTCATCTTCAATTTCTATAGAGTTTTCCTCTTTTGTTTCTTTAGTTAGAGGTGATAATTTTATAGGACATATCAATTCTTCATGAACTTCTTGTTTTTTACAAACTTCCTCCTGAACTGGAGTTATAGATTCTTCAATAGATTTTTCCGTGATAGATGAACTTAAATCTTCTAAGGAAATAGGAACAAGTTTTTCTTCTGAACATAAATCATGATTAGGTTTGATTCCCACAGACTTGATCGAAAATGGATCTTCCCCATGATAATATGATGTCACCTCATCTGGAGCATAATTCACCACAAATGGTTTCTTCTCCAAGTCGTCAAAAGCTGTCACAATGTCACCGACCTTATTACCATGGATTTCATTATTAACGGACAGTTTTTCATCAGGCTCATCATTTTCAGAATCTATCTCATGATGAGGTGAATCCTTGAATCTTTCAGAAAGTATAGCTTTTTCCCTCTCCGTTTCCATTGCTAACTCTCTCATTTCCTGGTTAAGTTCTATCACTTTACGGGACCATTCATCCTGATCCATAAGGTCTACATGAGATATTTCAGTAGAAGTTACAGATTCCTCACCCTGATTTGATATAGAACTTGACTCAAGAATATGATCAATAGGACTACTCGTTAGTTCAACGCTAGGTTCAAGAATATCATTGTTAGATTTTTCAAAGTGTGACAGAAGCTCATTTTCGATTTGTTCATCATGGGAAGAGTCAACAACTGGTTCTAGGGAACCACTTACAGATTTTTCCATTTCTGAAACAATGTTACTAAATTCTTTTATTTGTTCTGGAATATCACTATTGGAATGGTCCACACTTTGTTCAACTTCTTCATGAGCTAACACTTCCCTAAATTCACTTTTAACAAGTTTGCCTAATAGGAAGTCATCATTATGAAGTTCATTATCACTAGGACTGAAATCAGAAGATTCTATAACAACATTATCATCTATTTTTTCAACTGCATTATTTTCACCTTCAACAACTTCATTTGTTTTACTAACGAATTCAGTTTCCAGTTTTTCAAAGGTATCTTCAGCTAAATCAAGTGTATCTACATTATTCTTTTCTGTAAGTATTTCTGAGTGATCACTTACAAAACTACCTTTGACTGTTGGCCTTAAACAACAAACTTCTTTTTCATCTTTAATATAAAAATCTTCTTCATCTTTATGGTAAACTAATTCATTTTCAAGCTCTACTACATCATTGCCATATTTCTCGTGGTTAAAATCCCCGACATGGGTTTCTTCATTTTTATTTTCACTATTTTCTATTATATTCTGGTCTTTTTTAATTGGACAAACCAGAACATCGTCTTGGTCTGAATCACTATCAACTGATGTCTCTGGACCTTGATGGGAGGAAATTCCATCAGCTGGAGCATGATTTAAGAGAGAATTTTCCACTTCTGAAGTTTTTTGGATGGTACAAAATTCATACACTTTATCAGTCTTCTCTTCAGGGGTGGCATCAACATTATTATCCACACCAGATCCGAGCCCAGGTTCAGGGGATTCCCTGAGGAGCGGAGAATCTTGTTTTGACCTTATGATTTCCTCCACATTTAATCCATCACCAAATGTGATTTCCGATACATCATTAGCACTGCTCTCATTTACTTTGATTTCTGGTTCATTATGAGGTGCACTAGGCGAAATTAAATCAGGTTGCTTATCAGTACCAGCCATGAAACAAATCTCAGGTTCCTCTTGCTGAGGTTCAGGAGATAATGGTTTAAAGTCAATATCTGAATGTGACGAATCATCCAGAGCACAAACATCAGGGATTGAAAAATGATCTTGAACAAAATTTGGTACTTGCGATGGGGCAAATGGATTAGTATCTTTTAAGGGCTCATTATTTGATAAACTGTCGACAGTACTATTCAGGCAGACAGAGTCATCACCAAAGACAGCCTTTGTAGATAAGTTGTTCAGAGCATCTCCATTCATAGATGTTTCATATTCAACTAAAAACATTAATAAATTAAACCACAATTAAAAGCAAATAAGTTAAACAAGATAGATGATGTGAATAAGAAAGTCCATGACAGGAATAAAAATATTCAAGAAAATACAAAATTACTGATAAAATACATTAAACTAACATAACACAAATGAAATTTAATTTAAAGAAACAAAAATTATGATTAGCCATTGTACCTCCTATATCTGATGGCCTCCTGCAAATTTCTTTGAAGAATTCGTTCGGTGACGGAATCGAAATATTTTCAAGACTTCGTTCCATTCCCTTCTGTGGGGAACTGGCAATATCTGGCTCCACTTGTGTTGTGCTGTACACAGGCACAAATTCTGCTGCATTTGGATTAAGCTGGGATTCCATGTCTTCTGCACTCAGCTCCTGTCAAAAATGTAATAAATAGAAAAAATTTACATAAAAATAAAGTTGCATTAGAGTAATCATTTCCTTAGCGAAGATACAATACTAATTTTAATATCTAGTGGCCTAGTTATTTGCCAGTATCCTTTTAATTAATATGAATGTTTCTTGAATTATTAAAAAAAAATCTGGTGCGTGAATCACACGAATTTACTTATCACCCTCTTCTTCACAGAAATAAATATTTTCAGATAAAGGAGAAGTAAAAGTAAAAATTATAGATGATATATTTATTTACATTTGATTGTGGGTATTTTTATTGGTTTAATTACCATTATATATATAAATTTTAGTTTTTATATCGCCGTAATATATACAGTGAAATATTAAATAATACCTTTTAATTCTCAGGGTGAGCTTGGGCATGCTCGTTTTTCTTTGGTTCCTCCATTACAACTATTATCCATTATAAACTCTTGATTTTCCTTTAGTTAATTGTAAAATTCTTTCATATTTTATATTTAACTATTTTTCATATCAAAGATAAATGGAATATTACAACAAAAATTAATGGTACTTTAGAGGAGCTAATATTGAAAATTAGCCATTTAAGCCTTTTTAAATAACATCAATGAAAATAAAACTTACATTATATTAAAAACTGCTTCATAATACATTGATATACTGAGTATAATCAAAATCGTTAAAGTCGTTTTTGACGAAAATGTTGCTGTAACATCCTAGGCTTATAAAAACCTCAAATACTAAATTTCAGTTTTGTAGGACAACTCGTTTTTGAGCTAGGCTGTCTGTATACACACACACAGACTATTTTGTGGGACTTGGGTATTTAGACTCAGAAGACCTCAAAATACGTATTTATAAAACTCAGGATCAAAAATTTTCATGATCGCAATACTTATCCTTGCTATATATTACATATATAGGTAAATGAAAGTAATAAGTAAAAATGGAGTGATTTGATGTACCTACAATAAGGCCTGATTACTGGAGACCACTAGCCACGAAGAGTAGCTTATGTGAAGAAACACTTATTTCAAAATTATTTACATAGAAAACTTAATAGTTTCTACTCTAATTTACTGATTAATTAATTTTGCTGTATTTAAAAAAAAGTTATGTTATAAATGTAATTTCTAAAACTGATAAATAATGTGTTAGTTAGCTTGCAATTATCATAATTTGGATAAACAGAAAAAAAGAAGACTTCATAAGAATGACTTAGGTTTGAAGCTGCGGTCAGATGCTTTCCATTCACACTTTAACAAAAAAATGTGGACTTGGCACAACTAAGCTAAATCTGGTAGTTGGTAGTAACAAGCATATGAATAATTGGGACTAATTTATTTAATGAAAATAATTAGCTATTATAATTGAGAGTATGAAGTCAAGAAGTTCCTTATTTTTTTTTATTTCGGTTTAAAGTTTAAGATTCATTTTACTTAGATTGCATCTGATTGCCTCAAAACCTGAAAGTTTGGGATTTTACAATTTTTTTTTTTCATGGGTTCAATAATTCATAATTCAAGGTCTAATATTAGATTTTATGCAGAATCTAAGTGTTCCATTATGAAATCTCACTGGACTTCCCTATCCATCACAAAAAGAATTGAATTCAACAGCGATTAGGGATAAAATAAAATAAAATGAGGATTTATATTATTTTTTATGAAAATCTCTAAGAATGCATAGGAAGGGTAATTATGCACAGGGGTTAAGAAGCTCAAGGGTGTGTGAAGGTTTAATTGTCATAATAGGAAACTAATAACTTCAGAAGATTTATAATTGCACAATTCTGATATTGGCCAACCAGCCAATAGATCAATGAAATGTAAAGAAAAAAATACTCCAAAATTGAATTGTTTCAATTGTTACCTCTTTTTGTTGCTGATTATGCTGCCTATTCTCTTTCCCGCTAATGTAGTTCCACTCCTCGTCAGAGTCTTCTCCGCTATCAGCTTCCCCGGCTACATCTCCTGATTCCTCTCCTGAACAAAAGAACACACAATCAGCGATTCTTTTAAGTATTACTAACAGACTCCACACACCCATCTCACCTCAAGCCCCTTCACAACTTATATTGATTTAAAAATAGCAATTCAAAATATTACATAAAAAAAAATATATATATATATATAAATTCTAAAATGTTTTTCTAATAATTTAATTAAAAGTGATGATAATATAAAGAGCTTCTGATTAATCACTAAACAACTATACTTGATTAAGTTTACATTAAAACCCTGTGAAAAGGTTACAATGAATACATATGTCTTTTTTGTTTTTATTTTATATTATGAACAGTCAATGTTATCAAATATCAGAGGAATTCTTCTTATCACTGGCAATGATACCTAAATATATAGACTTAGAAGCAGTAGATATGCGACATATTAGTACTAAATGGAATAAATTTCTTAATATCAATATACTAATAAGATTTTGTAAAAACGTAAGGAACGAAAATTAATTAGTAAAGTGATAAATTTAATAAATCGATATTCGAAGTAAGGGGCCTATGGTGGACATAGGGTGAGACTGGCCGCCTGGAAATGCGTTCTCTATAAATAACACCTTGAAGCTATGCAACCGTCTTCTTCTCATGACTTAATTTAACTTCTTGCTTTCTGGTGTAAGTAAAAATACACGGCACCAGGGGAGATATACACCAACAATACGATACAATTACATTGTTATTGATGTGATCAAGAGATTGAATTTTAATGTTGGCTTTGTCTTGTTTCTGTACTTAAAAGCGGTGTAACGCTAATCCAGACGGGAATAAAAACTTATTAACATTTACTAAACTGAACATTTAAGTTTGCGAGTAATACGAAAATAATTCGAAGAGAGGGTTTGACAAAAGAAGGGTTTACACTACGTGTTATCAGGTAACACAAAATACGAATCTGTTTCGTCGTCTATTATGCCGAAAAAAGTGTGCGTTTCGGCAAATCTCGAAACATTCGCTGTAATATTAATTTTAAAAATTTAGTATAGTGCAAAACAAAAAAAAATTAACAATTTTAGACAAGCTAAATGTCATATGATCATCATTAATATTGACTTTCTCTATTAATGATAGTCTCATTGAGCCTACTTTTTAGGTTGTAGACAATGGCATTTAGCTTATCTAAAAATTAAGGCATATTTTTTTTGTTTGGCACTGAATCCACTATTAGTATTCAATCTTCATATGCATACAATACGCAGTATTGAAAAATGAAGGAGGTGGGAAAGGTGTTAAAAAAGAAAAAAATAGCCAAATATTATGTGCATTTTATTGTAAATTCCTTTGAGACTGAGTTTCATTGGGTGTTGCAGGCGTATGGTTAGTTATTCGATGCGATATGCCAATAACCATTAGTTACTTCTGGTACAGCACGTTTAACAGATAATCAAATGTTACTTTGCGGCATAATACTATACCGTCAAGTTTGCATGGAACTTCATGGTTTTCGATTTCATGATGAAGAATATTCAGTAAAGTATTATCGTGCCTACGTAGATAACCGCTCTTTTTTTCTTGTTTTATTTCTACAACTCATACTATCTTGAAATAAACTCCTGTGATCTCGAATTGAAATATCCCTGGAAATTGAAACGTCGAAAAAACTGAAGTTATGCGATTCACGCATACACCAGACGATTCTTCATTTTCCTGTGATTTACTTACTTGTGATATGATGAAGTATTTAGATCAAATCTTATTTAAAAATATGTAAATGAAGTAAATAAGGTACATGGAAAGAATGAGTAGTAAATACTTTCTTGGCTGGAAGAAATTTCAAAAGCAGGAAATGAAGAGAATTAAATCAAAATATACAGGTAGAATATCCTAAACAGATAGGAACAAAACCTTGCCAAGTTTTTCCCCCATTTTATCATGAGATCTGCTCTAATAACCGCCATAACTCAAGGGCACAGATTGCCACCGCCGGAATGTTGCTTTCTCTCCAGAAATAGCGGTCGTCATCTTGAAGCACTTTCGAGAGGATATGGGAGCTCTATAGGGCGAAGCTCTGGATCGGAACGGGTTTAATTCCCAGGTTGGTAAAATACATTTAAGTTTCGGCACTAGCGTATCGTATGGATGGTGTTGGGGAAGGCTTTCGAGCTGACCGAACTCTCTCCCAAAATGAACTTTCCTTGTTCATTGGTCCATAGCTATTTTTGTAAGTGATCTTAGCTCAATATTTAAACAATCACAATATATTATCTTTTTAAATTCTAAATTCTATCTGTAAAACAACATTGTTCCAGTAATTACATTTTTTTTTTCTTTTTTTCATCAAGGACCACTGACACATTATTTCAGAAGAGTATTTTTCCCCACAGTAGTTGCCGTTTAAAAAAAGAGAAGTAAAAACTCCCTAACATTAAATTCTGAATCCATTATTACTGGATTTTGGAATTTAGAAAAGGGTGCCACTTTCTTGATAGTCATTGGAATACCTGACTACGATAATTATTAATAGTAACTGTAAAAGCAAATTGGACTTGTTGCTCTTAAGGTATTCCTTAAATTTAAACAAATACGCTAATAACTGGAAGTTAGGATCATTTTTGTGTAATAATAATAATGAAAGGCTTAGCGAACCTGAAGGTTCAATGCCGACACCACCAATCGCTTATTACACACCTCCCTCCACCGTTCGCCGTCCAAACCTAGTCCTTCAGATCGGCTTTAATGCAATCTTCCCATCTTGGCTTCGGTCTATCACTCGGATGGGTATAGGAAATATTAACATTTTAGGAATTCTCTCGTTACTAAGCCCAACAATTTTACAAGCCCATTTGATCCGCCGGGATGAAATCACCTCAATTATATTACCCGGATACAGTTCACGCAATTCGGCGTTGTGGAATAATCTTCGTGTAAATGTTTAATTTCATTTCAAAGGAAGCAATAATTTATATTTAAGTATAATTAAAGACACATACAGACTACATACACATCACAAGTTCAGATTAGGAGGTGAGGAATTATTTTGGATCTTTGCCCACGCCTATTCAAAGGTTAATTTCAGGAAAAGAAGTGTCGTAAACATCTTCTGTTCCTATAGCATGTCAATAAGTTCAAGCTGCAGCTTATCTGGAGAAGGAAAGCCACCTCAACGGTAAGCACATAAAAATGAACTTATCATCGGAGCTATGAGATAAGAGGTTTTGATTTACGCTGTAGGAAGAGGAAGGAAAACAAAAGGCAGACAAGTCAGTTACAAAGTTATCAGTTGAGGCAATCTATGTCTTCGTTCGTAAATGAGAATGCTTACAATAAGGAAGCACTTAAAACAAATATTTGCCGAAGTGTTCAATATAAAAAGTAATGGCCGAATAGTATGCCCTCTGCACATAACGGATTATCGAATAGTTCGGCAAATGCTAGACATGTGTGCGGCCGTACCTTCAGAGGAACACATTAAAGAAATCAGAAAGGATGCCGTGATATACAAACGCTTACAGCTGGTAATGCGGAGTATTGGGCTAACGCGGTAACGAGACCAAACTAGACTCCATCCGGCAACCACCTCAACAAGCACCCGGCGTCCTGTGGCGTAGTTAGGCGCTCTATATACGTGTGTATGTGTGTGTGTATCACTAACTCTATGGATTATACATTCGTATAGTATATAATGCTTTTTAAATAAAAAGACTCGGTTAGGATTTTATTTAAAAAGTAAAATTTCTGTTTAAATTGGACTTAGTAATTATAATATAATTGAGCCTTATAAACAATGTTTTTATTGTTAGACAAAATCCTTAGGAAGGCGAAACGTTCTTTAGCTTTTCAGGCGTTGATAACCCTAAGGTTTTACACCTTTAAGTCCAAATAAACAAGTCATGTTTACAAGATTTAATCCTCAATTGAAAAACTTATAAACTTTTATACATTTCTCACCGACTACTTCACCTTCACATTTCTGAGCTTCCAGAGTTCAAATCAAAAACAGCTGTTTTAGCCAATGGTCAATGTTCTGAGCAACAATTGTCTTTTGAAGGGTTGGACCGACCCTATATTTTTTAAAAATTATTCAGCAAATGTTCCAATCTTCATTTTTTTTTTGTTCAGATAACTCTAAAAACATCTAACATTCCAGATGCTTGATGAATAATTAAATTTCATAAAAAGATAAAATAAAAAATCGAAGTACGACAGTTGCGAAGATACAGCGAAAAAATTGGGAAAAGTAATTTAAATCCAAAGAGGTACTGAAATTATTGTGAGAGGATATGAGAGCTATTTCAATAATAGTTCACCTTCAATTGTTTGTTTCTTTTAAATAAAAGGTGATGCAGAATCAGGTTGTTAAGTATCTAAAGTAAAACATACAAAGAATTATAACACGCCGTGTATTTGATTTGTTACGATTGATACGGTTTTGCTGTTCTAATATATTTTCATCTATGCGAAGGTATTTAAATGAATCAAGGGAAACAAAGAGTATTCATTCATCGCTTGAAATTAAAAGAAGCATCCCGTGGACAATAGATGTACACTATACAAATTACTTTGCAGTTAAACCTTGAAGAACGCACGCAGACACAATCGCGTGTATAGTTAACTAAGTACTCTAAAACTTGGCAAATTTTATGTTGAAGTTAATAGAAATTATAAACGGACATTACAATGAAAGTGCAGCATAAACAAAGAGCAATATTAATACGACAATAAACAGAAGAGCTAAAGGCCAACTAGGAACCTATTTATACCTGTGACGCTTAGGAGTGCCTTGGCTCTGGTTTGAATTTAGTGTTCCGTGGCTAAAGATGGTGCATTACTACCCCCCTCACCTGTTAAATGCACACTACAATCCTCATGTAGCATTTAACCTAACTTGGATAAAGCACTTTGAATTTATTCACATAACTAGTCATTAGAAAATAATAACGAAACCGAAAGACATAATGGAGCAGAAGTATACCTGACTGCAGGAAACAACAAGGTTGAATACATTAAATCAAAGTTATACAAATTAAATGTAGAAAAAGAAATAATAAATATAATCCTGTGTTACAGAATCTACGGAATCAGTGTTGAGATTAGTTTTTATTATGAGGACTAATTGATCATTCTCCAGATTTATGGTAGACTAGACAAGGTATTTATAAATATACAAATAACCACCCAACAGGCTTACGCCCAATCGCTTTATAGGCTTTACGGGTATTTTTCCCGGGCCAGAGGTGAGGCCGAGGGAATCATGCCAGGAGTTAAATATCCCAACAGCACTGGGGTTTAAACTTGTAATCTTTGATTGATCAGTTTACCGGACAAACGCGTATTCTACACACACATCAGACCGCTCTATCACCCCGCCATCAATCTAATGAAAGGTATATGTATGAATAGTAGTGAATGTTTAAAGGAAATATTAAAAAGAAAATCTGTACTTTTTTTTTATGTACACCATACCTCGTTAACCAAACCTATTCTAACCACAGTTGCAAAGCTGATGTTCATTATGTTGGTTCATCTTGAAATCAACTCGTTGAGGCCAGATACGAGCTGGCACCGCAAGACTCGAGAATGTTCAAGCGCGAAACGTTCTAACACAATCAAGGTGTTAGAACTGAATCTACTCGATTCAGAAGATTTGCTGATCTGATATCGGTTACAAGCTGTAAGTAGTATTGTGGGATTATCAAAAAACCTACAAACCCAGTTGTCGGACTATTTACTTTTCTTGGGTGATAAAATAGCCAATTGCAACAAACCATTAGACATTAATGGAGAATGGAGTACATCTTACTTTAACACTCAATAGAGATTAATGGATATCTACCTTCAACATCTGTTATTCATGTTATATTTATTTTCTTATTTCTGTTAGGACTTTAAAAAGTTTGAGTGATTTAGAACGAATTATTCATTATCTTGTTCTGGTTTTTGATATGGTAAATCCATGGAGATATGTTCTAATTCGGGAAAGATCGCAGAGTTAGCCGTTGTTAGTAATATCTCATCGAACCTGAAGTTCCTCCAAGTTAGCTGGTTTTTGGAACTTGCTTAAAGAATCCATATCGTTTTCGTAGCTGCTTTCCTTTTATGAATTATATTACTTTCTCATCAATCTTTTGAACATTACGAAATAGGATTCCATATACTTGAGTACATGAACACCCTCAGTGCTCCAACAACGCCCTGAAGATGAACCACATATGTTAGGGTTGAAACGTTGGCATAATAATAATAATAAAAAAAAAAAAAATACTGCGTCCTGAATATTTATCATCCATGATACGTAGAATTTCCATACTCTTTTCTATATATAATTTGTCGGAGATAAAAAGGTAATGCTTATACTCATAGATTTTTAACATGAGTATGGATATAATAGTAAACTATCAGGCATATTCAGTGCCACATCCAACGCCCTGAAGACGACCTGCAAAGTGGGTCGAAACGTCGGCAAAAATTAAAATTATTTATATATTTTAATTTTTTGATTTATTTGACCGCACCCTCGACTAACTCCTTCTCATATCAGGCATATTATGTACAGGAGACACTTCATTGCTAGAAAATATGCCGTCTTTCCCAAACAGCCCACTTTCTCCTAATTGAACGTAACTAAATGCTGTCTAAGGCGGTACAAGACCTATCTGGATGGGAAATCGTTAGCTGGTACAATGGAGAAGTGAAGGCTAGAAAGTGAAGCGTATTAGCGATGGAGTGGACCGGGACACGGCCTGGGGGTGGCTGCCGTGAGAGGTGAAGTAATTGGCCCATCTCGCTCAGGATGGATCCCCTGCCCTTTGAACCGAGGGCATCACGAAGGCCGAGTCCCGACGGAGCTGATTAGAAGAAAAGGTTAACACTTCTTCACTATCGTCCAATAAAAGGGATTATGTACAGGTAAATGCAATTCTCTCTAAAACGGAGTAGCAGAAATATGGAATCTTATTTCTTAATGTTTAAAAGATTGATGAGATACTAATATAATTCACAAAATGAAAGCAGCTAAGAAAACGATATGGATTCTTTAAGCAAGTTCCAAAAACCAGCTAACTTGGAGGAACTTCTGGTCCGATGAGATATTACTAGTAACAACTAACTCTACGACCTTTCCCGAATTAAAACACATCTTCATGGACTTACTAACCACATCAAAAACCAGAACAACATAATGAATAAATTCGTTCTGGATCACTCAAACTTTTTAAAATCTAACAGAAATAAAAAAAATGAATGTAACATGAATAACATATGTTGAAGGTAGATATCCATTAATCTCTATTAAGTGTTGAAGTAAGATGTACTCCATTCTCCATTAATGTCTAATGGTTTGTTGCAATCAGCTATTCGAGAAAGTGTCGCTTTTATTTCGATATCAGTTAACAATATACTAATTATAATTTTTATCTTTTATTTTTCAGTTCTGCTCTGCAAAAGAATGGGCTCAAGCAGAAATTTATGATTATAATTTTAAAACTCATATACCGAATGCAACCAGCGGGAACCTGATACGAATGGATTGTTTGTAATTCTACTAATTCTGATTAATCAAGTAATCACATTCAACATTATTTTAGACACTCTTCAGATTTAGTTCACTTGCAGTTTTCTGCAAAAACACGTCAGTAACTTGTGCAATAAATACGCTCGTACTGCAATCAGCACGTTCGATGTGTTTCGAACCATCACTGGTATGATATTGTTCAATGAGAAAGGGCAAGGAAAATGAATTGGGTAAAACATCACATGCTCAGGAAACAAATTAGGAGTAGAACGTCATTAAGAATGGCCATGAAGTGACGCAGTGGGACTATTGCATTCTAGCCTCTAAATCACATGAGTCATGCGTCTCCTTAGGTAACTACAACCCCCTCCCCCTCATCTCGCTCTCTCTCTCTCTCTCTCTCTCTCTATATATATATATATATATATATATATATATATATGTGAATAAACAGGAAAAAATTTTTATTGTTTAAACGCTAAATAATATAAAATTTAAGTCCCCAATACGAAATAAGAACAATTTCCATAAGAATGCAGTAAATGGCATAAAGTCACAATAATATTTTACTCCAGAATTCTAAATCTACTTTTGGCCATAAGTTTATAAAGGAGGGATGAACTGAGAGAATAAAAACTGCTATTAACAATTAAACAGCCATTATTTCCGAGATGGAAGCGACGAGTTTAATCGAGAAACTTGTTCAGAATTACTGGCCGATTATGTTGGTTATAATTGGCACGCACATTTCACGCGAGCCTACGCGTTCTTAATATTATTACTTTTGCAAAGTCAAACAGTATTATATAATGTATATGTGGAATAAATATATATGTATGTATATATACTTATTATTTGTCAAAGGTCTTTTTTTATCGGTATACCATATTTTTGTTAATTCTTCATCAAATCCAATGATAGAACCACCATTTTGTAGATTATCTACTGCTTCAGGAGCAGATAATCACATCAATCAAAAAAGAGAAGAACAATTAATAAAAAAAATAAAACTTTATTTGGACATAATTAAAAAATTATATAATTTATAGTGTTTATATTGATTATTATCAGAAATGCAAAATTTCCTAAAAAAATTTTTAAAAATCGTCTAAATCGGACTATTTTGAGCAAGGAAATAGCCAATTGTAATTAGTACACATGTTTGGATCCATCAGTTTGAATAACCTCTAGTAATAACGACGAAGGAAAAGAAAATAAACTGCTCACTATGGTAATATATTTCATTTATTTATTTCCATATAATATTGCCGTTTGTTCACTGGGCAATATACTATGGGAGTTATTTAATGGGGACCACCAATAGAAATATATTTAAATTGAAATATTGCCCAGCTTCTGAATATATAAATATATATATATATATATATATATATATATATATATATATATATATAAAACAAAAAAATCTAAAAACTTTTGATAATTTATGAAATAAAAGAAAGCTAAAATTTGAAGTTTCTCATTTATAAATTTTATTTAACTAGTCACAACGGTTTAACTAGGTACATTTGGAGTTGCTTATTTTCTTTTTTTTTTTATAAGAAAAAAAATCACGCTCGTGTGTATAGAGTTTGTCATGTATGAATTCATACAATGATATTAGGTATTTCACAAAAGGGAATAAGATTTTTAAAATACATTAACCTGACATCAATCACTGAGGTATCGAATAATTAAAAAAAAAATAACATAATTTTATATTTCTTGCCATGGAATAATTACTTTATTTTTTTCAAGTTGTTTTACTCGTGTATGTCAAGGCTGAGAGAAAGGGAAAAAAAATACTAGAGGCAAAAAATACTTTAGGATCCAACCTGTCATTTCAGGTTTGTAAACGGTACCGAATAATATAAAAATGTAACATGAATTTTTTCTTTCTGTTATAAATTAGAATAATAAAATTCGAGAATTTAAAATTATAAATTTGTTTTTAATTGAATTTATTATTATTATTTTGAATCAGAATATATAAACACTTCTTGGTAATATACCTCTATTAAAGAAGGTAGACAAATCTTTTATTTCTTTTCCACCTGTTCGCTGTCCGACGATAAGCTCTAATCACGAATTCATCGTTAGAGCTAATGGAACAGGCAGATTTTATCAAGGATAGATGAGATATTTTGCCAACACTACGCTCATGAGATAAGCACACAAGCGCTTGTTATATATATAATATACACAGATCGTACAGAGCGGAGTGCACTGTCGATAAAGCTCCGCTACGGAAACGTGATGCAAGCCGCTTTCCCCGAAGGTGAGGCAATGGAAATGCAGCAGGGAGCGAGAAGGAACTACTCAACCGCTACCAGTTACAGTACAACAACAGACCTGCCCTTTCACCAATGACTCACAACAATATTGTATAATTAATTGGGAAAGGCTCATTGGGTAATGGGGTGATAGGCAATGCTACATTAGCCACCATCTAAAAGCTCAATGCCGATCGATCAATAAATACCTGAGGTTAATTGAGTGCGTGGAATGTACCTTCTAAAAATGAAGAAAAAAATGAAATAGGGTTTTTGTTTATTTCGACACTATTTATGAACAGTAAGAGTGGACTAAAGTGACACAAACCCTTTTATATATCAAATATAGTTACAACAACCGAACAATTTTCTGATATTACAATGGGGAAAATTCAACAAAGTTCTTTCATGTTATGAAATGTTACTTCATTACTTTTTGCTAGTTATGAAAGCCATGAGAGTAAAAAGTACCAGCGGCACCTCCTCGATTAATGTTTAGTCATAGGTCTCTTCATCCACTTCTCTTCACCTTCTGCGGACGTTACTAGCAAGGGTGCCAGATGGATATTTAATGGCACAAGTTGCGCCATCAAAATTTTTGAGTGGCTAATTTTGACGATTTTGAGGGGAAAAATTTCGACGGGGACGAATTTTCGAATTAGGTTACGAACGAAGGGGGAAACATAGAACAGACCGTAGCAAGTATAATTGTATACAATCTAAGATTTTTCTAATTTTACCTTACCTTCTTCTGTTTTTAAGAAAAGTTAAGCAATAAAATATCTTGGAAGGTGGGGGCAGGTAGGTTATTCCGCCATTGACCTTTTGGTGATGGGCACCTATGTTGTGTGTTGTGGCCATGTCATTTAAGAATATGTTGGGATGCCCTTGTATATATATATATATATATAAACACGTACAAATATTTGTAAATCACTTTTTTAATGAAAATCGGAGAATAAGAAAAATAATAACGTTAGCTGCAATTTCGATAATTTTTAAATTTCATAAACTTATTTATTTACATACTAGCGTGTTGTTTGGAGTTGCAAGATTTGGGTTTTGATGATGTCAAGTAGAGAGATAGAAGGTTGGTTAAGTTTATAAGTGTAACCCCACGTTCCATAACTTATTAATTGTACACCCATACATGAGAACAGCACACTATCCATACCGTGAAATGATTTACGATAACAACCCCTGCCCATTTGGAAGATTCCAGCAAATGGATGCTTGGATAAAACATCAATCGATTGATGATACTTCATAAACCGGAGAGCTAATCCGTTCTTGCGATTTCTCATCAAATCTTTATACGCTCAGCATTCCATGCAGTTAACCGGATATGGAAATGGTATTCGGGACTTTCAAACACCTCAAGTAGAAACCGGTAAATAACGGATAACATTAGTCACAGTTTCTCTTTAATAGATGGCGGAGTATAATATAAACAGGGATCATAAAAGGAGGGCGTAACAATAAAAATAATACAAATCAATAAATCAAATATCGCCATTGGACAAAGGCCATAACCAGGCACCGACTTCATTTCAACTCTCAATAGAGTGAAAAGGGACCACAATAAAAGGAAGGGCTCACATTAGGCCCCAAGAAACAGGGGATTTATCGGCATCCTCAACTCTAGATGGGCCCCTTTCTTTATATTCCTTTCTTGTCAGTCCTCAGGCACATTAGACTTATATAAATGGGGTTCAATAAGCGATTACGATAATTAACTTCGCAAACAACTCCGCAACCGAAAGTATCGAACAATCTAAATTTAAAATATATCAAGAAGATACAGAAGGAATTATAACACGAGGAATGGATTTCATAAAAGAGAGAAACCCTATTCGACAAATGGCTATTATATTTCCAAGCACTATTAATAACGTTAATAAATCCACTCTTTCTTGCATCACTCCTTTTTCTCTACAAGATCATTAAATTTTATTATTGATTTTTAACAAACCCTATCCAGATCTTGGTCGGACTTTAATTAATACTTCTGCAATTTCAAGAATCATGGCAGTTTAAATAAAAAATTATAGTTTATAAATGGACGACGTTTAACAGAAGAGAACCAATCCACATTGCACAGTTTCTAGAACAGTCAAGTTTAAGTCAAATGACCTCGGAAGCTTTGAGACAAGTATATTTTATTTTTATTTTTTTTTTAACAACTTCATTTTATCAACAATGAAATACTGATTGCTATAATATCAATATATTTATATATTGATATTTATATATTTTAAACTTTAAGTTTTCTTCGAAGGCACCCAAGACAAGGTTGATGTTAATGAACAAATGTTTCTCTACTTTGACGACTGGGCCAAGATTTTATGATTACACAAGAAATGGATTTCCAAGAATGGCTGAATGCTAATTGAATGTTTTTCCTGGGTCAGGGGAGAGAACGAGGGATTAAAATCCTCCCAGAACCGAAACGCGATCTCGTAATTATTTTAACATAATTTTTAAGTTAACATTTAACCTTTTTTAGTTAATTGGGATACCGAGCGACACGTGTTTTGCACACGCTTTAGCTCGCTCGACCAATCCATCCTCAATGGTCCTTTTCAGTTAAAATCGGAGCGTTAATAGATTTTAATTATTTTACTACTTTACACCACGCTCCCTTAAAAGAGTTAAACATGCCCCTAACGGGTTATTTTCAGTTAAAGTCGGAGCCTCACCACATGCTTCGGCCATTCTCAGGATACCAGTAATAGAATGATCATGAGATTTTATGTCTGCCTTCAAAGTGGAGTAACACATACTGTAGTATCGGAAGGTTCTTTTCTGCATAATTTATCGATTGATAGAATGCCGCCATTTATCCATTCATATATATTTTAAAGGTTCTAAACAATATTGTTAATTCGTTTTCTTTTACATGAAAAGTAAAGGCAGTTTTGTAAAAAAAGGAAATATACAGTTCAAGGTCTGTAGATCGGTTCAACAGGAATGATCCGAACCCTAAAAAGCCGGTCAAGATCGTTCCAAAAAGATTGTTAAGTCGATCATTATAAACGCCATTGGGTTATTTAATATCCTGTTCATGGGCATTGCCACATTGTGTAATAATTTCGAACTGCTGAAAAAAATATATAAATAATTTGGAACAAAAAGATGACATAAATCAATAAAATATCGACAACCATGTTGCTAAAGCATACCAATGAAATATTTAGAAAAAATCGAGACGAAATAACTGTTGGTTTTTAATTTATGAACGTTCAATTTTTGGTTTGTATTTCTGAATATTTGTCAGGTCAAGATTAAACATAAAGGCTCAAAACCTTAGCTCTCAATAGAATTATTCTTACAATTTTTTTTAGCATGGTTGACGATACGATACGTGATCAGCTATCGCAAAAAAAAATTGCCACAGTTCTATATTTAAAAAAAATAACACTAATTTATAACTAAATTTTGTCTATATCGTGACTACAACCTATTATTGCAATTGAACTCGTCCCATTCCAGAGAACACCTTCTTAGAAAGTAGAGGGGTTGGCAAAAGCTCGGTCGGTAATTAGGACGAGAAAAAGAACGGACGATATAACCTTTCCCACGGAAAAAAGTTCTGGAGTTAGCGTGCTTACTCCGGCATATTCGATTCTGATCTTAAAATGCGATATCATACAAAGTTTAAAGGAATCAACGGAGTTGAACTGAATTTGCGACCCTAGAGTAGAAACCCTAGACGTTCCGATATCCTACAAATTCATCCTGAAGGATTTATATAAATAAATCGTCACAGATACAAAATAAGTATAAGTAAAATATAACAAGAAATATGAAAGAATTTAAGTATCAGGTACGTTCAATAGGTCACAACTTGAGACCCCAAAAAAGAATTTGAATAGGTGTAACAACGGTGCTGGCCGAAATTCATCGATTAACTTATCCGTGTTCCTATATTCAGTGATTGAATCACCAAGGGCTCAGCGTTTCCATCGGCTTTTGGGGTCAATGGAACCGCTAGATATAACCTCATTGTTATTTCTCAATTTACTTTACATATTTATATTAAGTTTACTTCCTATCTAGTTTATTTCTGGTTTGAGATTGAATATATCTAAATAGGTAGTTATTTTCTTATAAATTTTTCGTGTGTTTTGAAACTTGGAGGAGTTGCACCTCCTGCTGGAATCCGTGTTCCAAAACTTAGCATACAACGTTGCTAGATTAAGTCGATTAATGAAAACCATCGATGGAATTAGCTCTGATTTTAGAAACTTTCTCTTCTTATCGCGACTATTAGAAACCAGTCAGTCAATTTTGATGTTTACTAGTTTAATATTATTATTTCATTTTAAATTAGATATTAGCTCCAAATTTTTCCTCATTTAATATTATTTCAAATAATGTTAAATTAATAATGCTATGA